GACAGACAGAAACAGACAGAGAGAGAGAGAAACAGACAGAGAGAAACAGAGACACACAGAGAGAGACAGAGAGAGACACAGAGGAAGAGAGAGACAGACAGAAACAGACAGAGAGAGACAGAGACACACAGAGACAGACAGAGAGACACAGAGGGAGAGAGAGATCGACAGACAGAAACAGACAGAGAGAGAGAGAAACAGACAGAGAGAAACAAAGACATACAGAGAGAGACAGAGAGACGCCGAAGGAAGAGATAGATAGACAGACAGAAACAGACAGAGAGAGACAGAGACACACAGAGAGAGACAGACAGAGAGACGCAGAGAGAGAGAGAGAAACAGACAGAGAGAAACAGAGACACACAGAGAGAGACAGAAAGACACAGAAGGGGGGAAAGAGACAGACTGAAACAGACAGACAGAGTCAGAGACAGAGAGACACAAACAGACACAGACAGACAGACAGACAGAGGCACAGAAAGACAGACACACACACAGACAGACACACACACACATACAGACACACAGAGAGAGACACAAACCGGAATGTATCTCCAACTCGATCATGGAAATAAATAAAGTTGTCACGATCAACCATTAAGAGATCTCCGCTGTTGAAGTACACATCACCATTCTGAAAAACATTTCTTAGCTTCTTCTTTTCAGTCAGGCTCTTTGATCCCGCGTAACCGCTAAATGGAGCCACCTGGGTGATTTTGCAAACTAGCAGTCCCACTTCACCTAGGAGGAACCACAAAACTCAAACAAAACGATACAGAAAATCTGCTGAATAGTAATATATTTGATTGCCTGAATGCATTGTAGGACTCCCTGCAAAAGTTCTGGAATTGACAAAAACATAGCAACAGCAATGAATATCTCACATCTGCCCATTTTAATACCAAAATGACATTTTTCTTCCCGCCCCACCCCAAAGTTAACATACTCCACATGGCCTTTGCAGTACCCCAAAACTAAATTAATATTTTCAATCAAAATTCTGGTGCAAGATTTTGAGAAGGTTCGCGGACATCCTAGGAGAGATTTAAAGAACGTGTACATATCCTGGACATACATATAAAAATATTTACTTGGGAGTAATAGTCTACTTGGGAATAGACCATAACTTCTAAGTAATCCAGTTTTTACTTTTAGCTCTGATCTGCACCAACTTAAATCAGGAGACGGTCAGGAGCTCCAAATATTTAAGCATCTCCTTGAACATAGCTAAATGTTGAAGTCCATCATGAACTTCATTCTTGATGCCAGGACTTGTTCATACAAGTTTGTGGAAACTTTGATTTGTGGTGGCACTAGTGATGCTTTGCTTTGAAATCTTAGATGAGAGGTCTCAAAATTTTGGCACCTTTAAGACTTGTGGATTTCAACTCCCAGAATTCCTCAACCAGCTGGTTTACATTCCCTACCATATAGTCAGAGCAAAACAAGCGTCTTGGACAGTGGTGAAATTCAATTTTTTTTACTACCGATTCCGTGGGCGTGGCTTGCTGGGCATGGCAGAGGAAGAATATTGCAAAATCTCTATTCCCACCCTACTCTGGGGCCAGGCAGAGGTGGCATTTGCCAGTTCTCCAGACTACTCAAAATTTCCACTACCGGTTCTCCGAACTACTCAAAATTTCCA